TCTCACCCCAGTTAGATGGGCCAACATCGTAAATTCAAACAACAAATGTTGGTGGGGATGCGGGGAGAAAGCAACGCTACTGCACTGTTGGTGGGAATGTAAACGAATACAACCACTCTGGAAAGCAGTCTGGAGGTCCCTCAGAAAACCTAAACATAGACCTTCCCTACAACCGGCCTATAAGATTCTTGGGCATCTACCCAGAATTTCACAAGCCAGGCTATGATAAAGACACATGCACAACCATGTTCACTGCTGCCCTATTCACAACAGCCAAGACATGGAGACAGCCCAGATACCCTACAATAGCCGAGCGGATCCAAAAAATGTGGCACCTATACACAATGGAGTTTTACCCAGCCATGTGAAAGAATAAAATAATGTCATTTGCAGGGAAATGGCTGGAACTAGAAGAAATCATGTTGGGCGAGGTAAGCCAAGCTCAGAGAGGCAAACAACATGTGCTCTGATAGGCAGAAGTTAGATCTAAAGTACACTGGGATATGAGAAATTATACATGGCTAGATACTCACACACAGTGAGACCAAAAGAGGATCCTCTTAGGAGAGAAACACAAAGGCACAATGTCTAAGTGCCTCTTCATATTTGTATGAAATCGTATACATACTGAAATCCACGATAGGGAAACAAGAGACCTCTCTCTTTTCTTTTCTTTTTTTTAGCTTAGTTTCAGGTGATTCTGTCTCCTTTTCCTTATGCATGGTGTCTTCATAGGTACATCTTCTGGAGGGTGGTGGGGAGGGCACTCACAAAAGTGGAAGTGGTGCTGTGGCTCAAGTGGTAGAGTGCTGGCCTTGAGCTGAAGAGCTGAGGGACAGCGCCCAGGCCCAGAGTTCAGGCCCCACGACCGACATAAATAAATAAATAAATACCTAGCTCGAGGGGTCACAGATGATCTCAGCAGCGGGTGCAGAAGCCTCTTGGGGTCACGGTGTCCTTACGTTGTTGACAACTCCCTGGGGAGGAAGACCAAATCCAGCTGCCCCAGGGCCAGCGTGGGGTGGTGAGGGGCTTGTGGGTATGTACGTACTCACGTACTCACGCAGGCCAGGTGTGGGAGGTCATGCCTGCCATCCCCGCTCCTCTCGGAAGCAGAGACTGACAGGATGTGGTATTGGGAAAGTTATCTGGGACCCCATCTCAACAAACAAACAAACAAACAAAGCTGGATGTGGTGATTCGAGGATGTAATCCCAGCTCCGTGGCCAGGTAGAAGGACAGGTGTCATGGGAGGCTGGTGATAGGAGGCTGGGCTAGGCAGAAGCATGAAGCCCTATCAAAAATAAGCCAAACAACACACACACACACACACACACAAAGCCAAAAGGGCTCAAGCCAAGCAAGTTACAAGGCCCTGAGTTCAAATTCCATGCACCACCTCCATTGGATTTAAAGGGGTTCATTGACCAAAATCTAACACCAGACCCACACACACTCTGGTCCTGGGAAGTCCACTACAGGCCAGACTGAGAGGTGTCAGTCCCTCCTATATGTTCTTGGGGGGGGAGGGGGAAATGTGCCAATGGGGGGAGGGAGGAGGCCTGGCCACTCTCAGGGTCTTCCTGTGCCCAGCGAGCATCAAGCAGCCCGCATGACCTTCCTCCTAAGAACCGCATGCACCAAAGCTGGGAGGGACCCCAACTCTGCAGGTCACAAAGCAGCAACGTTGCTGCTTCTCCAGCAAAGACTTCAACAATGCAGCCACCTCGCCCCACAAGCTGGAACAGAGGCCGGCACTGACACCTGGTGGCGATGACAGACACCTGCAGGGTGGCTGTGGCTGGAGGCGGGAACGCCCCAGGTCCTTACAGCTCATGGAAATGAAGAAAGTTTGGTGTTTTCTTGAGCCGCGTGCAGAAGGTCATGTTGAGATAGTTTCATTGGAAGCCAGGCGCCGGGGGTCTCATGTCTGTAATCCTAGAGCGACTCGGGAAACTTGAGATCTGAGGATCCCGGTTCAAAGCTAACCCAGGAAGAAAAGTCAGTGAGATATCATTATTATTATTATTATTATTTCCAATTACCTGGGGGGGGGAAGAATTCATGGGGCTGGGAAGGTGGCTCAGTGGTAGAGTGCTTGCCTCGTATGCACAAAGCCCTGGGTTCGATTCCTCAGTACCACATACATAGAAAAAGCTGGAAGTGGCGCTGTGGCTCAAGTGGTAGAGCGCTGGTCTTGAGCAAAAAGCTCAGGGACAGCACCCAGGCCCTGGGTTCAAGCCCCAGGACTGACTTAAGTGGTAGAATGGCAGCCTTGAGTGGAAAAAAAAAGCCAAGCAAGATCATGAGGCTCACACTCACACACACACACACAATAGGAGAATCAATTAATAAAGTTTAATAACCTGATTTATCAGCTTCGATCACAATTAACTTTTTCATGCACTGAAACTGACTTTCCCCTCCACACCCTTCTAGAAAGATGGATGGAATGTGAACTATTTTAATGACACCCTATAATCTCCGGACTGTATTTTTCCACAGAACACATGTAGAACAAGTGTTTTGAACACCGTCAGGACTAGGCTATAGTTGTAGAATGTTTGAGAGAAATCCAGAATCTTCCCCTAAGTCAGTTACAGTGTTTTCCCAAATCCTGCCAGCAGCTGGGGGAAGGGGGAGGGGCTCCTGAGAAACACCCCCAGAAAGTCAGTCTAGCCCCAGAACAGACCGGAAACAGAAAAAGAAAAATAAGATTTTTTTTTTAAATATTTAAGAACCAGGAATGGAGGGGAAAACGGGAGAGGAGGAGGCGAGGGGTGACATTGTCCAAAAAGAACTGTACTCATTACCTGATTTGTGTAACAGCAACCCCTCTGCAGATCACCTGTATAATAACAATTATTTTTTAATGTAAAGCTAGGTGCCGGTGGCTCCCGCCTGTCATCCTAGCTACTCAGGAGGCTGAGGGCTGAGGATCACTGCTCAAAGCCAGCCTGGGCAGGAAAGTCTGTGAGACTCTTATCTCCATTTCACTGCCAGAAAACCGGAAGTGGCTCTGTGGCTCAAGTGGTAGAGCGCTAGCCTTGAGCTGAAGAGCTGAGGGACAGCACCCAGGCCCAGAGTTCAAGAGCCAGGGCCAGCAAAAAAAAAAAAAAGAAAGAAAGAAAGAAAGGGAGGGAGGAGGGAGGGAGGAAGAAAAGATGTAAGGAAGGAAAGGAGGAGGGAGGGAGGGAGGGCAGAAGGGAGGGAGGAAACAGGAACTGCGACCCAGAGGGAAGATGTAACAGTGTAGACTGAGGCGGGAAAACAGCCAGGAGGCGGCTCCACTACTGGTCATGCAGCTAGCCGTGTCTGGGCCTGAGCTGCCTGCGGGCCTTGGCACCAGGGTCCAGACTTTTGAGACCTTTCCCTAGGCCAGAAGCCGGGGAGCGTGTCCAGGGCTCGGCCACAAGGTGGCGCCAGACGCCCATGGACGTAAGATGCACCTTCCTTCTAGGTGGGCGCCCATTCCCTCAGGCCAGATTCACACACACACACACACACACACACACACACACACACACACACACACCCCACACCTGTCATCACTCTGATCAAAGGCCAGATACACACACACACACACACACACACACACACCACACCACACCTGTCATCACTCTGATCAAAGGATAAATAGGAAGCATGGAAAACAGGGAGGGAACCAGACTTGGAATTCTGCTCCTCCAGGTCTTCCCAGTGCTGGGATTACAGGTGTGTACTACCACACCCAGGGAAAACAGGGCCCAGACGCTCCCAGAACAACTTCAGAGAGCTTTAGCAGAGCTGCGTGTGTGGGAGAGAAGAGCTTGGCTGCGGAAGGCCTGGTTAGGACAGAAGCTAGGCGAGTGTGCCCGGCAGCGCCCCGGCGGCTCTGCCCGCGGGCACAGGTGTGCGTTCTGACTGCTGACCTGATCCCGTGTCCTGGCGATTTTTCTGTGAGCCTCGCCCAGCCCGGCCTCCATTCTGAGGCCTCAGCTTATCAGCCTCCCTCGGGCCGCTGGGATTATGTGCGGATGACCCGGATTCTCGGGGCTAACACCACCCACCTCTGTCCAGTACCAGGCTTTCTTGCCTGGCTTGGTGGTGGAGGATGTGGAATGACCCCGATTAAAGCTTAGCTTTCTGGCCCAGGCCAGCCTCGGATGGCGATCCTCCAGCCTCTGCCTCCCTCAACCACCAGACCATGGGGCACCTGGCTGCCAGAGATGACAGCCCGCCCAGGCCAGCCCTGGGCCCTTGAGTTCCCACGGGGCCGTGTGCTGAGAACTGAGACCCCCCCCTCTCTCCCACTTTACCCTCATGCTACCCGGGGGTACCCCAACTCCCTTCACCCCAGAGGGTCTTTGAGGCTGACAACAGAAGGAAAATCTTCTAAGGCCCACTTTAGTCAGGAACCCAAAAGATGACTCGGGGGGGGGGGGGACACTTTATTTGTCAGTTGTGGGGTCTTGAACTCAGAACCTGGGTGGTGTCTCTTGAGCTCTTTGTGCTCAAGGGAGAGCGCGCTACCTCTTAGAGCCACGGCGCCCCTTCCGGGGGTCTGGTGGTCCGTTGGAGGTTAAGAGTCTCTCGGGCTTTTTCCTGCCTGGGGATTGGCTCTGAACCGCCATCCTCCCATCTCAGCCTCCTGCTGTCCAGAAGACTCGAACCCAACACAGTGTACATTACCATCCATTTCCCTGCTGGATGCAGACAGACAGACAGACAGATGGACAGACAGACAGGGGGTGGGGGTGTGTGTGGGGGAACCTAACTCATAGGTAGCTGATCTCCTTCACAAATAAGTAAAGAGGATGGGAGGAGACCCCATCTCTCTGTCCCACATCACTGGGGGAAGGGGGGGGGGCTCAGCGCTTCCTCTCCCACAGCGGCCTGAGGCCTGCTCCTCCGTCTCTGGTCCTTTCTCTAAAGAGGAGGCTGGAACACAGGCCTCCCCCTCCAGGCCTCCCCCTCCTGGCCTCCCCCTCCTGGGCCCTGCAGACATGGCAGTCTCTTCCTCAAGGCCCTTCCCCCACATCTGCTAGCTCCGCGTGGGGAAGCCCTCTCCGGGGGGCAGCACGGTCGGTCATGACGCACACGTCCACCTTCTCCTCCCTCCGGCAGGGCGCGAGCTTCTGCGACGGGTTGGTGATCTTCTGAAAATCAAGTTTTAGAGGAAACCATCAGCTGTCCGGAGCGAGCATAAAGACGAGCCCAAGGAGCGACTGGGTTCCAGAACTTTCGAGAGGAAACAACAACAAATTCCAAAGACAAACCCGTTCCTGGATCAATGATTTCCAGCGTCATCTAGAATCATCTGCCCAGCAGTTCCTGAAGGGCCCTGGTGGTCAGTGCTCTTTCTCTAAGAACACCCCACAGAAGTTTCCTCCGCTCCCCACCCCACCTCCCAAAAAAAGCAGATAAGGGAAACAGAAGATAAAATCATAGACCTGTGTCCAACCACGCCCATCAGTTATATGAAATGTTAGTGGACGAAACATAGCCATTAAAAGGGCAAAGATGCCGGGCACCAGTGGCTCACGCCTGCCATCCTAGCTACTCAGGAGGCTGAGATCTGAGGATCGCGGTTCAAAGCCAGCCCGGGCAGGAAAGGCCGTGAGACTCTTCTCTCCCATAAACCACCAGAAAACAGGAAGCGGCGCTGTGGCTCAAGTGGTAGAGCGCTCATCTTGAGCTGAAGAGCTGAGGGACAGCGCCCAGGCCCAGAGTTCAAGCCCCATGACCAACAAGAAAAAAAAAAAAGAAAGAAAGAAAAGGCAAAAATGATCAGAAAGAATTCACAGTTGTAAATTCAGAAAAGAACAAAAAAAGCTGATGGCAGACGTGGTTGAAGGGGTCCAGCGTTTGCCTGCCAATCAGTCTCCAATATAAACAGAAAGCAGAGGAGGAAAAGGAGGTAGAGGAGGAGGGGGAGGAGGAGGAGTTGAAAACAGAAGGGGGGAGAGGAGTTGTAGTTGCTGCTATGGTTTGAATGTGTCCCCTAAAAAGTTTGTGGTGGAAGCTGAACCCCCAGAGCAACAGTGAGGCCAGGAAGGCGCGGCCCATTGAACGGCTCCATGCTGGTTACGCAAGGCTCCTGAGGTCATGTGATCCTAGCCTCCAAAACTGCTTATCCAGGGAACTTCTCTTCTTTATAAATACCCAGCCTGTGGTATTCTTTTAGTAGCAAGCGCAAAGGACCCAGACAGCCATGGAGTCCTATCCAGATTCCTCTCCCCACTGGGCAAACCCCTATCCACCCGTGCAAAAGGCTGCTGGCGGCCTCCCCAGCTTCTCAGGAGGCTGAGATCTGAGGATCGCAGCCCAGGTAGAAGAATCGCTGACTTTCCTTCTCTTCAATGAAGCACCAGAACACTGGAAGTGGCGCTGTGGCTCACAGGGACAAGAGAGCTAGCCTTGAGTCCCAAACGCTCAGGCACAGCGATCGGGCCCCGAGTTCAAGTCCCGCAACCATCACCGACAAAAGCGCAAAGCACAGCCATGCCCAACGAAGGAGGCCCCAGCGACACGCAGTCAGCGTCGGGCTGAGAAGAGACAGAGCGCACGCGGTTACCAGAGTGTCCGGGAGGACGGCCATGGGGCAGCAGCAGTAGCGGAGCAGCTGACCCGTCTTCCAGATGGAGACTGGCAGGGCCACCAGGAACAGCATGAAGGCGACAAAGGCAAACAGGGCCAGGCCGAGGGGCAGAGCCTCTCCTGGGGAACGGGACAGTTAAGAGCGAGTTAGAAAAGCCCTGCTGAAGAAGGAGCCTCTAGTCCTGGGCCTCCTCTGTGCAATCTGCCTCCTGAGCCATCAGGGGTGGGCCCGTGAGTCCTTGCCATCGTTCTAGCTTCTATGCAAAGGCTTCCAGAAGTTTCCAGAAAGTTCCTCCCCCCCGTGCTTGGCATAGCTGCAGGAGGAAGGCAGGGTGCCAGGTGGAGAGGGAAGCAGAACAGCACAGAACAGGGTTGGGCGGCGATGGAAAACAAAGTATTGCGCACTTGGCTGCTGGTGCGGATTCCTATTATGGAAGATTTCCTGTGCATGAGCAAGTGACGACTCCTCTCCGACTCTGACTGTGGGTGTCGGGGTCACCTCTCCAAGGGAGCTGGATGTGTACCACAGTACATGTGGGGACCCCCTTTTATGCTCAGAATGGCTAGTCACTGATCGCAGGTCACCCATGGAGTGAGAGCCCTTAGAAAAATAAGCCAAGGCCAGCTGGGCGCCGGCGCTCCCGCCTGGCATCCTAGCTACTCTGGAGGCTGAGATGTGAGGATCGTGATTCGAAGCCAGCCCCGGGGCAGGCAAGTCTATGAGACTCTTATCCCCCAGGAAACAGCAAAAATGGAGCTGTGGCTCAAGGGGCAGCACCCTAGCCTTGAACAATCAAGCTCAGGGATGGCATCCAGGCCCTGAGCTCAAGGCGCTGGGGACTTTGGCTTGATTTGGTTTTCTTTCTTTCTTTCCTTTCTTTCTTCCTTTTTCTTTTGGTCGGTCATGGGTCTTGAACTCTGGGCCTGGGCGCTGTCCCTCAGCTCTTCAGCTCAAGGCGAGCGCTCTACCACTTGAGCCACAGCACCACTTCTGGCTTTTTCTGCTTATGTGGTGCTGAGGAATGGAACCCAGGGCCTTGTGCATGCAAGGCAAGCACTCTACCACTGAGCCACCTTCCCAGACTTTGGTTTTGTTTCTTTTGTGAAGAGTTTTTAAACACTGTAGGATGTTTAGGCCATTAAAGATAAAAAAAATAAATAGAGCTGGGCATCGGTGGCTCACGCCTGTCATCCTAGCTACTCAGGAGGCTGAGATCTGAGGATTGCGGTTTGAAGCCAGCCTGGGCTAGGAAAGTCCATGAGACTCTGATCCAATAAACCACCAAAAAACCGGAAGTGGCACTGTGGCTCAAGTGGTAGAGCACTTGCCTTGAGCTGAAGAGCTGAGGGACAGCGCCCAGACCCAGAGTTCAGGCCCCACAACTGACCAAAATATATACATGTAAATGAAGGAGAAGACCCAGAACTCTGGGCAGGCCTCAGAGCAGGCCTCAGCGGGCCGCCCGCTGCACAGGGGGTGCCGCGCCAGACAGAACACCTCACCTTGCACCTCCACGCACTGCGCCTGGCTGAAAGCGCTGCGTCTCGCGATGGCTCGGACCAGCGCACGGGCCTTCACGCAGTACACGGCGCCCGGCTCCATGGCCCCCAGGTAGACAGGGAAGCCCACGCTCCTCACCACCTTGGCATGTTCCTTTGGGAGGAAGAGAGACAGGGCCTCTGAAGGGGGGCAGGAAGGGAAGGGGCGACGAGCCCCAGGGAGACATAGATAGCGACACAGCCGTGCACATGAGCAATCCGTGCCTTTGCGTTCGCTGAGCAGCTACTACACACCGGACACTGGGACAAAACGGACAGAGACCCTATTGTCTGTCGAGCGTCCAATAAATACGTACCGAGAGGGAGAAAAAGGCAGGGGCTGGGAAGGTGGCTCTGTGGTAGAGGGCTCACCTCACATGCATGAAGCCCTGGGTTCGATTCCTCACTATCACAGACACAGAAAAAGCCAGAAGTAGCCCTGTGACTCAAGGGGTAGAGCGCTAGCCTTGAGCCAAAGCTCAGTGACAGTGTCCTGAGTTCAAACTCCAAGATTGGCCAAAAAAAAGTGTTTGGGCCGGGTGTGGTAGTGCATGCCTACAATCCCAGCTACTTGAGAGGAAAAGTGCCCAAACTGGCCTGTGAAATAAACCAAAGCAAAAACGGCTGGGAGGCCTGGCTTAAAGGATAGTGTGCCGGTCTGAGAAGTATACAAGGCCCTGAGTTCAAAGCTGAGTACCACCAAGAATGGAAAAGAAAAAACACAAGTGGAGGGGGGTAACATCAGGGCAGAGACCTGAAGGTGGGGAATCTAGCTGTGCCCGGGCTGCGTGTGGCCAGCGGTTGGCACAAGAGGTCACTGGAGCCAGAAGGCTCACCTGTCCACCCAGCCACCCGTCTGTCCATCCACCATCTGCCCACCTTCTTCCTCCGCCCGCCCTGAGCCTGCACAGGCTTGTCTGGGCCCAGTCCGTGTGACTCAGGGTACAAATTCTGACGCTGGTGTGGCCTGCTCCACTTTTTCCAAGGAACCCCCTCCAAAAACTAAGTGTGCAGGGGGTATAGCAGTGGCCCGGGCGCCCGCCTGAGAGGATCCCCAGGAGGCCAGCTGGCTTCTGCAACCCCCAGACTTGGACTAATGTAATGCACGACAATGACGGTTCTTGGCTGAGGACTTGGGTCTAGAGAAACTGAGCCCCTCCAGGGGAAGGGGCAAGGGGCTGGGCTGAGATGCTAGGGAGACACAGTCCTAGGCACAAGGGGGCTGGAATGACTGGGGTCTGATACACCCTGGCTACGAGGTGGGGGAGGCGGGCCCCCCTTTCCATGGGCGTGTTCCTCCGGCTGGCTGTAATTAGCTGGGCTTGGTCGTCAGCAGCCTGACTCCTGGCTCCCTTGCTCCATGGCTTCTACACTCAGCCAAGACCCACACCCCGGATCACGTGCTCTGCACACCATCCCGCCCCGTTCTGTTGCCCCAAACCGGCTGAGACCAGTTGATGTACTTCAGCTAGACCAGGTCTGGAAAGACTCCCAAGCTAGGCGGCTCACGCCTGTCATCCCAGCTTCTCTGGAGGCTGAGGTCTGAGGATGGTGGTTCAAAGCCAGCCCAGGAAGAAAAAAAGTCTCATGAGTCTCTCCTCTCTGCAGTGAGCCAGCAAAAAGCCGGAAGTGGAGCTGTGGTTCAAGTGGTAGGGCACCAATCATTGGTGGGGGGGGTGGGGTTTAAGGGAGAGCTTAAGGCCCTGAGTTCAAATTCAAGTCCCAGTCCACGAGCACGTGTGCGCACGTGCATACACACACACACACACACACCCCTCTCTCAGCCAAGGCCTAGGTTGGACACACAAGCAGTGTTGAAAAGGCCAGTGGTCTCCTTCACACACACGTCAGCCAAGACTGTCCATCTCAGATGACTAGCACTTCCGGGTCGGGCCTGACCCCAAGGCCCATGTTAGAAACCTTACCTTGGCCCCAGGCGCCTTCCTCCAAAAGGTCACGAAGAACTCGAACTGGGGCCCCAGGTCCTCCAGCTCAATCACCAGGTGGGAGCCATCCTTCCTGACGGCCATCCTGGGCGGGAGGAGGAGGGCTGTGGAGCGGAGCAAAGGGAGGATCACAGGCAGCCCAGCCGGGACTCACTTCCCAGGGACACAAGCGACCTGGTCACCCGTGGAAATGTAGCAGTGGTCATGGGCAAAAAAAAAAGAAGGGTCTGATGGAGCCCAGGAGCCCGGGCCTGAATGCAGCAGGTGCTCACAAAAGCATTTTTGCTTTTTCTGTCAGTCCTGGGCCTTGAACTCTGCACCTGTCCCTCAGCTCTTCAGCTCAAGGCGAGCGCTCTGCCACTTGAGCCACAGCGCCACTTGCGGTTTTCTGGTGGTTCATTGGAAATAAGAGTCTCACGGACTTTCCTGCCTGGGCTGGCTTTAAACTGTGATCCTCAGATCTCAGCCTCCTGAGTAGCTAGGATGACAGGCGGGAGCCTCCAGGGCCTGGCATGAAAGCATTTATTTTAACCATTTTCTCTTCACGTAGACGTTATCTCTTTCCCTTTATTATTTTGGGGGAGGGGAAAATACTCAATTTTGAGCCATCCCTCTATCCCACCCCCCACTTTTGTCGTTGTTGTTGTTCTGGTTATTTTTGAGATAGCATCTCCCTTTTTGCCCACCTGACCCACGATCCTCCTTATTTTACACTTCTTGGGTTGACAGACATGCACCACGATACCCAGCTTTGTCTGTTGAGATGGTGTCTTCTGAGCTTTTCTGCCCAGGGTTTGGCTTGGAACCTCGATCCTCTCTATTTCAGCCTTCCACATTGCTGGGTGAAAGGCGCACACCACCGTGGCCAGCTACGGGTTGAGATAGGGTCTTGAAAAGTTCTTGCCTTAGCTGGTCTCAAACCCAAGTGGCTAGGATTACAGGCATGAACCACGGGCACCTGGCTCAGGAGCTATTTTTTCTCTTTCCTCGAGAGGCTAATACCAGGATTTGAACTCGGGAATGTCCTATTGCTCAGTTTACCAACTATTGCTCTATACCACCTGAGTTTCCAGCCTAGCTTTTTTTCTTTGCTGCTTTCTTTGGACACGGAGCCTTAGGGCCTCTTTCTGCCCAGGTTGGCTTCTAACCTCCATTCTCCACATCTCAGCCTTCTGAGTAAGATGAGATTGCAGGCGTGAGCCACGGTGTGTGGCCAGCTGTTATGTCCTGACGCTGGGCACACACCGGCCCGAGCTCTCTCTCTTGAGCGCTTCTGGGCTGGTCTTTGCCAGTGGGGTTGTGCACAGCGTCCCGGATTAACAGCTCTGCATGGGGTTCAGCGGGTATTCGGGGGAGATTTCAGAAAGCAAAACATGTTCCTCCCCGCTGTCACACCAGGAACAGCGTATGCCTGGGTAGGAGACGGGAAGACAAGGGAGGTCAGGCTGCTCCTCTGAACCACTTCCGGCGGGAGAAGAGACTCCGATCCCTCCACCTGAACTCCCACATGATCAGCACTGGGATCTCAGACCTCCATCTTCAGGGATATGAGACTTAAGGGGAAAGGACCTGAAAGGGCCGGGCATGGTGCTGCACACCTGTAATCCCAGCTCTGCTGCAAATGGAGGTGAGAGGATCGTTCTCAGAGGCCAACCCTGGGCAGAAAAAAAAAAAAAAAAGCTCAAGAGACCTAAGCCTGCCGGGTGCTGGTGGCTCACGCCTGTCATCCTAGCTACTCGGGAGGCTGAGACCCGAGGATCGTGGTTCCAAGCCAGCCCAGGCAGACATGTCCAATTCAAGATAGAGACTGCCCAGACTAGGGATTGAACTCAGGGCTGACTCCACTGCAGAAGCTTCCCAGGGGAGCTTCAGACACATGCGCAGACTGACACTTACTGACCACCCCCACCCCCCCACCCCCAGCAGCCAGAGCCAGGCCTGTTTCTGTGTACTCTGGCCCCTTAAGCATAAGCATGGGCAGCCCAGTCCTTAGCTCCCCCTGACCTGGCTTTCCCTCCCGCAGAGGTGCCAGCCCTCTAGGGGGTGGGGGAGGGGCTTGGCCCGTGACACCGGGATGCCCGGATGCTGTCTGGCAGAGCTGTGGTGCTCTTGGCCGGCTCGGAGGCCTGGGGTGGAGGCCTGGCAGAAAATCCTGAACTCTTCACTGACATTTCTATTCTATTCCCATTCTATTCCACTCTTTCTATTCCTGCCTCCCCTCTTACCTCCTCTGTCTTCAGGCTCTCAGCTCTGGGCATTCCTGGGACAATAATAATGATAATAAAATAATAATGGCGGGCCCGGCGCCAGTGGCTCACGCCTGTCATCCTAGCTACTCAGGAGGCTGAGATCTGAGGATCGCAGTTCAAAGCCAGCCAGGGCAAGAAAGTCTGTGGAGACATATCTTCAATAAACCGATAGAAAACCTAAAGTGGCGCTGTGGCTCCAGTGGTAGAGTGCTAGCCTTGAGCGGAAGAGCTGAGGGACAGCACCCAGGCCCAGAGTTCAAGCCCCACGACCAACAACAACAACAATAGTAATAGTAATAGCATCTCCCAACAGATCTGAGGATCTGGGTTCAAAGCCAGACAGATAATAAGACTTTTATCTCTAATTAGCCATCAAAAACAAAACAAAAATCTAGAAATGGAGCTGTGGCTCAAATAGTGAAGTGCTAAATAAAGCTTGAGTGAAAAAGCTCAGGGACAGTGCCAATGCCCAGCGTGCAAGCCCCCCCCCCCGCCCCAGGACTGGCAGAAAGAAGAAGAAAAGAAGGGAAGGGAAGGGGGTCTGTTCCTGACTTTCCAGAGCTTTCCACTCTGCTCCACAGCTCTCTGCCTGTCCAGCCACCTGCTTTCCCTCCCTCCATACGCATTCTCATAGCTGAGCTTTCCCGGGACCCCACCTCGGGATCCCCGTGTCCCTCATCTCTTGTTCATGAACCAGCTCATCTACTCCCAAGCCTTTAGCTACCCCTGATGACTGGCAGGTCTGGCTTTGATCTGATTTCCAACTGCGCCTCTCTGTTGGTGGGTCGCTGGGTGGGTGGGCTGATTGCTTAGTGTTCTCATTGGAGGAGAAGGAGAGTCACATTTACAACATGGAAGGGTGTAGAGTTGCTCATTAAAACTCTGTGCGGGCCGGGGGCCAGTGGCTCCCGCCTGTCATCCTAGCTAGCTCAGGAGGCTGAGGTGTGAGGATCGCGGGTCAAAGCCAACCCCGGGCGGGAAAGTCCGTGAGACTCTCCTCTCTGAGAAACCACCAAGAAAACTAGAAGTGGCGCTGTGACTCAAAGTGGTAGAGCGCTCGCCTTGAGCTGAAGAGCTCAGGGACAGCGCCCGGGCCCTGAGTTCAAGCTCTAGGACCAACAACAAAAATCCTGTGTGATCAGTGACTGCTGCTGCTCAAGGACAATGCAGACCATGCAACGGACATACCGGGACCCACCACCAGGGGCGCCAGTGCCACCATGGAGGGACCTCCGTGTCAAAGCACCAGAGACAGTCTCCTATTCAAGTCTTGGGACTGTGAGGCCAGAGCTCATCTTTCCCAATGCCACCACCCCAAAGTGGTGACTTAGGCATCCTCTCTCCTCCATCTGCCCCTCTACATCTCAGATCCGAATCTATCTCAGCCTATGGAATGCAAACTGTTTTCACACATGAAGCTGCTCATGGGCAGTAAGCCTGAGGTGGATAAAGCACCAGGACCGGGCGTTGATGCTCACACCTGTAATCCAGGCTACTCAGGAGGCTGAGATGTGAGAGTCCCAGTTCAAAGCCAACCTTGGGAGGGGGGGGCGGTGGTTGGGGAGAGGGACACAGACAAACCCGGGAGACTCTCCTCTCCAATTTATTAGCAAAAAAGGGTAAAGGTGGAGCTGGCGTGGTTCAAGTGGTAGAGCACCAGTCTGAAGTGAAGAAGCTAAGTGAAAGCGTGAGGTCTGCGAGGATCATTGGAATGCCCAAGCCTGGGCGGGAATGACTCCTAAAAGAGATGGGACGGGAAGAGAAGAGACGTGGCACCTTACTTGAGTTCCGATTAAACGGTGGCTTCAGGGCGCTCCAAGCTGACGCCCGTGGGCCCGACGTGGCCCTGACGCGGAGCCGGTACGGGACCGTGGCCGTGATGTCATCGGTGACGTCACACTCGGGGCCTGGGGTCGGGGAGCACCAGCTGCTGGGTATCCACACGTGGCTCATGTACAGACTCTCGTACTCCCTGGGCCCGGGGAGAGAAAGGTACAGTGTGACATCATCGGTCAGCGTCAAACCATTCCTGAGAGAAGGGGCTGGGAAGGTGGCTCAGTGGTAGAGTGCTCGCCTAGCATGCATGAGGCCCTGGGCTCCATTCCTCAGCACCAGAGACACAGAAAAAAACAAAACAAAACAAAACTGCAAGTGGTGCTGTGGCTTAAGTGGCAGAGTGGTAGGTAGCCTTGAGCGAAAGAAATTCAGGGACAGTGCCCAGGTTCTGAGTTCAAGTCCCAGGACTGGAGAAAAATAAGCCTTCACTAGGCACCAGTGGGTCACGCCTCTACTTCTAGCCACTGGAGAAACAGAGATCTGAGGATTGCAGTTCGAAGCCAACCCCTGGGTAGCAAAGTTCCTGAGACTCTTTTATCTCCAGTGAAGTGGCAAAAGCCGGAAGTGGAGCACCCAGTGTAGAGCACCCAGCTGTGAGCCAAAAAAGCTAAAGGCATAAGGGAGGTTCTGAGTTCAAGTCCCACTTACTGACAAAAGATGTGTCCATTTCTGGTCAGAGTGAAACTCATTTAAGACAAGTGACTCACTACAAGTGCACTATCACAGCCACGGAACAACTTCCCTGGCTTGCTCAGCTCTCTCCTAGGGCCCACGCACACACAAGCTCATAAATATGAGCTCTGAGCCGGGCGCCAGTGGCTCACACCTGTCATCCTAGCTACTCAGAAGTCTGAGATCTGAGGATCGAGGTTCAAAGCCAGCCCAGGCAGGAAAGCCCATGAGACTCTGATCTCCAAGAAACCACTCAGAAAACCACAAGTGGTGCTGTGGATCAAGTGGTGGAGAGCTTACCTTGAGCTGAAAGAGCTGAGGGACAGCGCCCAGGCCTGGAGTTCAAGGCCCCACGACCGACAAAAAAAGAAAAAAAAACTCACCCCTGGTACTCAACCCAGTAGTGGACTGTTTCTCCAGGCAGGATCACTGGGCTCCACACCAAGAGATGCTTCATGTTGGCTGAGTGGACAGAGAGGTTCTGCGGGGCGGGCACCACAGCCCCAGGATCTGGGAGGAAGGCAGACAGAGAGGCTGATGGGTAGTGTCACGGAGGTAGAAGGCCAGTTTCCCATGCGTGTCTCATGGAGACCTCACAGGATCACTAACCAGAAACAACTCTTAGTTTCATCACCCTTTGTGCTCCTGTGGTTGCACTTCTGCCTTCGGGATAAAATGGAATATTAGTAATCCTAACAGCTAACCTTCCATTTTCTTTCGGGGAGGGGAGGAAGAGAGTGGCCCTGAGGTTTTGCCTTTGCTTTTTTGCTGTTGGTGGTCGTGGGGCTTGAACTCTGGGCCTGGGCGCTGTCCCTCAGCTCTTCAGCTCGAGGTGAGCGCTCTGCCACTTGAGCCACAGCGCCACGTCCAGTTTTCTGGTGGTTCATTGGTGATAAAAGTCTCACAGATATTCCTGCCGGAGCTAGCTTTGAACCTCGATCCTCAGATCCTCAGGCTGTGATCTGGGCTTGTCCCTGTCTGGTGATGAGTAGTGTTAACCATTCTCTTTGTGCACTTGTGTGGCTTCTTTTGGACCAACGTCTATTTGGGACTATCATGCCATTTCTAAAGCACATTCTTTGATCACTTTTGCTCTTCAGATCCTTCATCGTCTAGGTACTCATCCTGAGGTCTGTCATTGGCAATGTCTGTGTCAGGCTGACCTGAATCCAGGCTTTGCTTTAGCTGTGATGGTCTACGCCATCTTGCATAAGGCCGCGCCTCCTACCCCACCCTCTTCATGCCAGGCCCATGCAAGCAAGGCTCCTGCCGGTGCACACACGGTTCCTTCAATTCAGCCCTTCCTTCCCTGCGCCAGTCTCCAGGTTGGCGCCTGGTGTTTATCGCCAAGCTCTGCGGCTACCAGGGAATGGGGCGGGGTTTGCTTCTGAGGGGACATCTTGTCTTGTTCCCTCGCCTCTCGTCTAGGAAAGGATTCTCTGGTGATGTACCTTCATGTCACCGAAGCATCTGTGGTCTGACCAAGAAGGAAAGGCCTGGTGTGTATGTGGGGCACTGGGAGGCCTCTTGATCTCACCAGCTCTAACCTGGAAGTCATCAAAGAGACAGGAAAGAAAGAGGCTGGGGGAGGAGCTGGAGGGGAGAGGGAGGCAGGGAGGAGGAGGCAAGGCCTTCTCTCACACTCTTCCCCCTGGTAGTGTAGAAAAATAAATAAATGCTCTATTTGGGGAATACAAAGCTTTATAGCTGGGCATCAGTGGCTCACGCCAGTCATCCTAGCTACTCAAGAGGCTGAGTTCTGAGGATCAGGGTTCAGAGCCAGCCCGGGCAGGAAAGTCTGTGAGACTCTTATCTCCAATAAACCACTCAGAAAACCACAAGTGGTGCTGTGGCTCAAGTGGTAGAGTGCTCACCTCGAGCTGAAGAGCTGAGGGACAGCGCCCAGGCCCAGAGTTCGAGCCCCACGACCAACAATAGAAAAGAAAAAAGGAAATCAATAAATGTTATCTACTATATCAAAGACATAAAGAAAACCATGCACGCCTATCTATTGACTCAGAAAAAGCATTAACAAAAAAATAATCTAACACTATCAAAGTGAAGCAAACTTCTCTCCAAGTTAAGTGACAGTGGCTCACGCCTGTCATCCTAGCTACTCAGGAGGCTGAGATCTGAGGATCACAAGTTCAGAGCCAGCCAGGGCAGCAAAGTCCACTTATTCCAATTAATTGCCAGAAAATCAAAAGTGGCGCTATGGTTCAAAATGGTAGAGAGCTCACCTTGAGCAAAAGAGCTCAGGGGCAGTGCCCAGGCCCTGACTTCAAGCCCCATGACTGACCACAAGAAAAGAAAAGCTCCAGGTAAATTTTACTTAATGGAGAGACTAAATGTGTTCTTCTGGATCAGGAACAAGCAAAGACTCCCACTCACATTGCTCTTATTCAACAGAACACTGGAAATTCTAGCCATTGTTACAGGGCAAACAAGGGAAGTAAAAAGAATACATACTAGAAAGGAAGTAGGAAAGCTCCCCAATTAGCAGGCTTTGTGGAAAAGCCCCTGGAATCCGGAACAAAAACAATTCCCCAAATTAATACGCACGTTCACAGGATATATCATAAACACACAAGTTAATTATATTTCTAAAGACTACTTATGAACACTTGTACACATAAGATGACATTAAAATTATAATTATAAAAAAGAAAGAAAAAGAAACACATGGGTATAAGTCTAACAAAATATACCCAGAATTTACATATGTAAAACTTTAGCCAGGTACGGGTGGTTCATCCTCGCTATTCAAGAGGCGGAGATCCGAGGATCAAGGTTCAAAGCCAGCCCGGGCAGGAATGTCCGTGAGACTGTTATCTCCAATTATTCACCAGAAAACTGGAAGTGGCTTTGTGGCTCAAGTGGTGGAGCACTAGCTTTGAATTAAAAATCTCAGAGACAGTGCCCAGGCCCTGAGTTCAAGTCCCAGGACTGACAAAAACAAAACAAAACAAAAATCCTCAACAGCAGAAAATCCAACAATCGAAGTAGAAAACAGTCCAAACACAAAGAGACATTTCACTGCAGGGGATATTGAGATACAAATAAGCCCATAACAAGGTATTTAATCTTCACTTAAAAAAAGGGGGTGAGGCTAAATGCAAATTAACACCACCAGGAGAGCGAGCGTGACACAGCTATCAGGATGGCAACATTTATAAAAAAAAATAACAAGATTCAAATTTGGGCAAAGCAAGCGAGAACGTGAATCTACCACACGCTGCAGGTGGGAATGTAAAATGGAACATTCACTCTGGAAAATGGTTTGACAGTCTGCTTGTAAAATGACACCAGCAATTACCATCGGACCCAACAACCGTACTCTTTGAAGCATTTACCCTAGAGAAATGAAAAACTTTGATCACCTATAACGGGTTCATGAATGCACATAGCCAGACCACACTTGGACCGGCTGTCTTTCAGCAAATCGGTAAGCCTTGGCCACTGACAATGACAAGACACGCGCTCGAAGAGGAATAGCTCTGCACCACATTTCACTGTCCCAGTAAAAATGCAAAGCAGATTAGGTGCATTTTAAAACTACATCAGCCTTTCGGGGATTGCAGAAGAGCACTGAGATTTCCAGTATTTTCTCGACTCAGCCTCTGTAGGTAGCAGCCATCCAAGAAGTGTGAGAAGCAAGATGTTGCCATTGGTCTTGGTTTTCATGTTGCCAATTTTTCCTGTACTGTCTTGTTGTTCCACATCCCCACCCCAAGGAACCAGCCCACAGCTCCCCACTTCGTTGTTTTATCTAGTTAGTCTCTTCACATCGATTTCAAAGCCTATTTTGTTTCTCATGACCTTGATCGCTTTTAGTGTCTCCTCCAACTTTCATCCGTGCATTTTTGCATCTACGGATGGATAATTTTTCTTTTGCAATCATTATCACAATACTGATTTTTGAAATGTTACTTGGAATTTTGTTAGGAAATGTTACCACTTCTCCACCATTTATTTTTCTATTCAGTTATTTTGGACTCAGATAGGGATTTTATTCTATGGTTAAAAATCCAACACTGCCATTTTGCTATTTTAAGTTGTTCCTGCTATGGCTGTTTGGGAACATTTTCGGGTTGATTAGTGGGTCAAGCTAATTCATTCCCATCTTCTTCTGTGTTACTAATCAATCTGTGTGTGTGTGTGTGTGTGTTTTGTTTTTTGCAGTACTGAAGCTTGAACTCAGATCCTACACTTACTAGGCAAAGACTCTCCTATTTCAGCCACATTTACAGCCTATTTTGCTTAGATACTGTCTTGAGTTTTTGCCCAGGTTTACTCTAGACAGGGTTCTTCCTATTTATACCTCCCAAAGAGACGGGGATTATAGACGCCAACCATCATACCCGGCTTATGGGTTAAGATGGCTCCCCTCACTCAGTCTGGCCTTCAATCTTTTTTCAAACTTTTTTTTGTCGGTCGTGGGGCTTGAACTCTGGGCCTGGGCGCTGTCCTTGTGCTCTTCAGCTCAAGGAGAGCGCTCTATCACTTGAGCCACAGCGCCACTTCCAATTTTCTAGCGGTTTATTGGTGATAAGAGTCTCACGAGCTTTACTGCCCGGGCTGGCTTTGAACCGTGATCCTCAGATCTCAGCCTCCTGAGTAGCTGGGATTACAGGTGTGAGCCACCAGCGCCCAGCTGGCCTTCAATCTTGAGCTTGCTGATCGGTGCGCCTCCCCAGTGACCGGAACTGCAGTGTGAGCCACTGTGGCTTGGCCTAACTTGTTTGTAGAGGTACAGAAAATATTGTAAAGACAACACCAAGTTATTTGGGGCTGGCTTTCACTCAGCTTCTACGGATGCTAGCAGCTTATATAACCAGTTAGTCAAAAATAAGGAACCAACATTCCCCTATCAGCTATTATAGTCCTCCTATGTTATTTTAACTAAACTCCAGACTTGATTTGCTCTTTATAATCCCCCCCCCCCGCCCCCATCTTTCTCCATTCCAGGATTCAATCCAGGGCATTATCTCACTCACAATCAGGCCCCGGCCTTTTTGAAGCATTTTGTTACTTCACACATACACACATTAAAAAAAAAAAAAAAAAAGAAACCAACCTGCTCCTGTCTCATCTTGCATTTCTCCCGCCCAACCCAGTAATCAATCACTTCTCCCCGGAGCCCCACCCAGTGAGTTTTAAAAAATCTCAACTGCCCAGACAGCTTGGGAGAGGAACACAGAATTTTTCCAGCTGTGAAATCCTGACAGTTATACCTTCAAAAGCTCCCCCCAAGCGATTCCAGTCTTCATTCAGGGCTGGGAACAAGAAATGTGGATCTTACTAAAGAAGAGGAGAAATGTGCCAAAATCCTCAAATGCTAGGGACGTCAGTGTACTGTGCAGCACCCCAGTGCTCCCCGAAATCAGACAACTGTTCTGTTCATCTCTAATCAGCGCTCTGCCTGGAACGTGGCTGGGAAAAAGTGCTCAGAAATGCTAAGCGAATGAAAACGGAACAAGCAAACCAAGTCTTAAAGGCCCCAACTATCCGATGTACTCCAAGTCGTACTTACCCGTGAGCGAGCATGGAATCAAAGTGCAGAAAACCCACGTGAAGAGACTTGTCCAGGTTCCTTCCAGAACCATCTCGAAGGCCTGTGTCTGGCAGACTTAAGTTTGTCTGGAAAGGTCATTTCCTTCCGGAATGGAGCACTGTGTCCATCTCAGCCATCTTGCCTTCGGACAGCAGAGGTAGAAGCTGAAGTCTCAGTAGTATGAAGCCTGAATTGTTCTGGAAAGAGGAGCGGGCCCAAACAGCTCAGAAGGGGCGGTCTCTGCAGCACCTTCCCTTCTGTCCAAATCCAGAGATCGCATCAAGGGGAGTGGCTTAGGACATTTCCAGAAAGAAGGTGACTTGGGGAGCTTGATGATCTGCCTGGAGAACAGAAGTGGGCAATAAGCATCTCCCCCCCCCCCCCGCCCACATCCCCTCCATCCCAACCCTTCCCCACCCCCCGCCAGGGAGCCTGGATGTTTCTAGAAGTCAGTGAACAGGCAAGATTTTTCTTAACTTTCATCAAATAGGTGTCCTCTTCCAAATCTCAGCCCTTTCTGCTAATACACACCCACTTCAGAAAACGTTGAGAACATTAATACCTTTTTAAAAGTCAAATCTATACAGCTGTATACTTACATGCATATTTAAAAAAATGAAAATCTAGGAAATTAAGGGAAAAAAACCATCAAGAGTAGTTACCTCCGGTTACCTCCAAACAGAATGTGGGCAAGACGGTGGTTAAAAAAAAAAAAAAAAAATTGGAACAAGCCTCTTTGCTGAGTATTTTATACTGATTACTGAAACATGTGATTTAAAAAATCCAAACCGGTTCTAAAACTTGGAAGGAGATCCAGCCTTTTCAACACCCATTCTTCATCTAATAGAACACAGGTTTGAGAGAACGTATTTGCAGGGGAACCTTGGGGAGGTGCTTAAGATATGCATTCCGAGAGCAATGAAGATCAGAGGAAGAGTGTGAAGTTCAAAGATGACGTACTTCCGGCCGTTCAACAAGTGTCTGGCTGCCAGGAGGCACCGAACTGTTGTCCATGTTCATGGATAGAAATGAGCAAGGTCAGAAGTGACAGGAGGTAGGCGGGTAGCTCGCGCACACTGAATAGATGGGAGGGCCTGGGAAGGGCCGCCCAACGTGACTTTCTGGTTCTGGTTTGGATCACTAGAGGGATGGCAGCGCCTCACCTCCAAGTATGGAGAGAAGCAGGGTCCGAGGTGGGTAGGGAGAGGCAGGGTGCAGAAAAGGCTGCACCTGCTCAGTTGGATGCTTCTTGAACTTGAGATGCACAGGAAGTCACCAAGTGTGTTAGGAACCTGTCTTGGGAGGATGGGTGTCCAGGGCAGCGAGCTGATGGTAATGAGGATAAAGGGGGGGGGGGAGAGGGACTGTCACCCTGCCACTCAAGACCTACATTTGCAGACCAAGCAAGAAAACGAAATTGGAAAAGCAAGCAAGGAGAGATCCCCAAGGGAGCTGTGGGTCTGAAAACAAGGCCGGACGAGGGGATTACCAAGGTGGGTGCAGAAGTGTAATCTTCGAGAAATGTCTCCGGATTTTTGCAAGCACAGTCATTTGCAATCTAAGCGAGAGGGGTTTCCGTGGGGGCCTTGGATCAGAAACTGGGTCATGGTGGGCCGAAGAAGGAAGAAGGAAGGCCCCTTTGATGCAAAGAGGAAGAAAACAACTCCGTGAGCCTCATTGTTTCCATTTCTAATAGGTGCAGCGAGACCTCACACCATAGTTCAGGGAGTTAAAAGAATGAAGACAAGGCACAGTGCCAGGAAGGCAGTCTATTACCACTAGGCCTCTGCGGTCTGACCCGTCTTCTGAGCTGGCCTAGGGATCTCAGCTGCACCTTGCTAGTTCTCTTACTTTAGCTAATTCATTAAAAACTACCTGTCTATCACAGTAACACCCAAGCCAAAGAGCTGTTGGATGAAACAGTACACTTACAACAGGGCAAACACTGGCTCCGCCCTTTTTCCAAGGTTATCTGTAGTTTCTCCATCATCTTACAATATAAATATCCCAGGCCAGTAGCCGGGCGCTGGTGGCTCACGCCTGTAATCCTAGCTACTCAGGAGGCTGAGATCTGAGGATCCATCCTGGTTCAAAGCCAGCTCGGGCAGGAGAGACCGTGAGACTCCTATCTCCAATAAACCACCAGAAAACCGGAAGTGGCGCTGTAGCTCAAGTGGTAGAATGCTCGCCTTGAGCTGAAGAGCTGAGGGACAGCGCCCAGGCCCAGAGTTCAAGCCCCATGACCGACAAAAATAAATAAATAAATAAATATCCCAGGCCAACTTTACTTCTTTAAAGCCAGTAAATATCTTAGAGGCATTTATTTAGGTTTTTTTTTTTTAAATATGTACTTACATTTGTTTCCCAGTTTCAAAGTCATCCATGAGATACAAATCGGAGGAAATGGTGTTCTGTGCCTTGTTACTCGTAACTGCCAATCAGTTTTGCCACATTATTTCACAATAGTGAGATCATTTTCCCCCCTGCTCCAAGCTTGTTATTCTAATGGAAACATCTGAAAATCAGCAGCAGTGATTACTGAGCACGTGTCCTCCTCGTGCTGTAGTTCAGTTGTTAGCACTGCAAAAATAAGACCTGGAATTAACTATTAGTGTGTAGGTCAGGCCAATTTTGATATATTTAATATAATCAGAGTGTTCTAGCCAGCAAATATTCTTAAAAATAAACAGTTCAGTGGTTGGGTGCCAGTGGCTCATGCCTGCCATCCTAGCTATTTAGGAGGCTGAGATCTGAGGATCATGGTTCAAAGCCAGCCTGGGCAGGAAAGTCTGTGAGACTCTTATCTCCAATTAACTACAAGAAAACCAAAAGTGGAGCTATGGCTCAAATTGGTAGAGCATTAGCCTTGAGCAAGAGCTCAGGGACAGCAGCCAGGCCCTGAGGTTAAGCAGCACAACAGACAGGGGGGAAAAAAAATTTTAACTTCAGTGAATATGGTGAATAAAAACTTAACACTTCTTTATAGCAATTGAAAACTCCACCAAGCAGTTTAGGCTCTGCTCAGAAAACAAGTGTTCACTTGTTTATAACTGTATATTCTTTCAGATCAAAAGAGCACTTCATTACTAAATTAGAAATACACATTTTCTCAATCGTTTGGTTTAGGTAATCATGTAGCAGCAAGAATTTAGGGTGTGGAGCGTGCATATTTTGCTTGTCAATTGTGTTCAAAATAAAAGAGTTGAGTAACATCTTGCTACCGCCAACAGAACCAGCTCGCCAGCTCCCTCCAAATTTGCAACAGCACCAAATAATGCATTTCCTCAGAACTGACAATGTGGCATTGGAAAAATAAAAACCATCCTACACAACAGACTGTTTTACAAGGGGAAAAAAGTGAGCAGTAAAGGAGACACTTGAAAAGCAGCTTTATTACTCACCTTCTGGCGAAGTATTGAACACGAAGAGGTTAAACGTTTAATGCTAAACTCTTTATCATTTGGACATTGAAGTATTTCTGAAAAACTGCCAGATTCTAAGACAAAATTTTCATGTAAGAGGAAATACAGGAGAGGACCATAACTACGCATAGAGAAAAGACACTGAAGGGGGTAAGGTTTAGGAGACTTTATTTTATTTCCATTTTTTCCCCAGTGGGCCCTCTGTAAACACAGGTTCTGGAGGTTTGTTAACAGGGCAAATCAAATGCTGCAGTGAGCTTCTTACTTTTTAAAAGGAAACGGTACTTTGAACTTTAGACGAAGACTCCCATTCTTTGATACAGTCCCTTCTTCCACATGTACAGGTTGAACAATGGTACGTTCCTGCCTAAGGCAGGTGACTGGCTTACCTCCAATCCAGGCACTCAGAGATGAGGGTGAAATTCCACACTTCTTTGACAAGAAGGAAAGAAAAAAAGGAAGAGTTGAATCTGCCATGGGGGAAAAGATTAACATACACTGTGGTAACCTTTGCAACTTCTGAATTACCCAACAGCGTTACAGCTGGAAAGCACTTACGAGCCACGTACCTATACAGATGACTTATTCTCACAAGCTAAGCTGCTCATCTCCTAGGCCTTTTTGTTCTTCAGATACTGGCAGTGTGCTCAGCCTTCTTGCAACATTTAATGATGGATCTGTGGAAGCCTTCAGTCATGCTAGGTGCACATGCTAACATGCATGATGATATGCATGTAAAAGTACTGTGCTCAACTTATAATACTCAGGGGATGTCACAGAAAAAAACGAAGATAAAAGTACATAGCACTTTCGTGCCCATAATAACTTTAATAAACAAAAAAAAACTGAAATAACTAAAGGGTTCTTAGAAAAAAAATTTAATAAAAATGAAAAAAAAAGGCCTTCATGTCTTAATAGTATTTACTGATATTATTTTAGTAGGAAAAACCAGGGCTGCCACTCCATGGCAAATTAGTCTTCAAATGTGTGTGTGTGTGTGTGTGTGTACCAGTCTTCAAATGTGTGTGTGTGTGTGTGTGTGTTCCAGTCCTGGGGCTTGAAGTCAAGGCCTAGCACTGTTCCTAGGCTTTTATGCTCAAGGCTAGCACGCTACCACTAGAGCCACCATTCTATGTCTTGCTTTTTAGTGGTTAACTGGAGGTAAGTGTCATGTTCCCTGCTGAAACTGGCTTAGACCCACAATCCTCAGATCTCAGCCTCTTCAGTTGCTAGGATTATGGGCCGGAACCACCAGTGATGGCCGCACAATCAATCCTAAATAAATGTCATCATCATGGAACTGTCATTCAGAAATGTACTTCCTGGTTTTAACTTCTCAGTCTTCACTCTTTTAATGTTTGCTAAAAACACTGTAATTTTCCTGCCTCCTCAGCTTTCTATCTTGTCTCACTTCACCCTAAAACAACTTTGGAATGTAACAGTAGGAGGAAAGTGACATTAGAGCTATCATTTTCACTTTTAAAAGCTAGACTGCTTTATTCCTTCCAAAACTAGATGGGAAAATCACTCAGCATTCTTAAGAATTTAGTGTTTTTTTTTTTGTTGTTTCAAAAGTTATAAATTCAAATTGTACATTTTCTTTCTTTTTTTTTTTTTGTCGGCCGTGGGGCTTGAACTCAGGGCCTGGGCGCTGTCCCTCAGCTCTTCAGCTCAAGGCTAGCGCTCTACTGCTTGAGCCACAGCACCACTTCTGGTTTTCTAGTCCTTTATTGGAGATAAGTCTCATAGACTTTCCTGCGTGGGCTGGCTTTGAACCGTGATCCGTGATCCTCAGATCTCAGCCTCCTGAATACCTAGGATTACAGGCGTGAGCCATCAGCACCCAGCTAAATTGTACATTTTCTACCCTATGTCACACCCGTTTTGTGGTACACTGAAGACAATGAATAATTTTTAATAATGGCACATACAACATACCCGGTATTTACATTTGTGATAAATGCAGTATTTTCTAATTTTTTCATTTATTATTGCTATTCAGTCACAAAAAAGATTAACACTCTTCAAGAAATTTATTTTAGCATATGCCATATATAATTTTATATGAAGAGAGTCCGTGACAAAACTAACAAGGTATCTTCACAAGGAAATAAAGGAAAGGCAATAAAGAACTTCCTTATAAAGATTTCTAAGCTGCATCATTTGATTTTTTTTTCAAAATACAAAACCTTAATATTAGAAGCAAAGACAAAAACTGCAAGAAGAAAACAGTAAAATACAAGACCTAAGATAAGGACTTGTTCTATGCAAATGCATTGCAAATGTAGTATGTATGTATGGGTTGGGTTATAATAAAAATACTTATATATTATAGTCAATTCTCATACAGAGTTAGAAACAGTAATATCCAATCAAGCAGACTGGATCACTATTTTCCTCATCTTCAATTGTACGACGAGAATTAAAGCTGTACAGCAGTCACTTCTGATTAGCAGTATCATGATAAATGCTTGACAAGATATAATTTTTCCCCTTGTTCACTTGTAAAAATTGGCGCCTTTTTGTAATGTTCTACAAGTTCTTCCATGGTGCTGAATTTTCGCTGCCCAATGCAGTAGACAGTCTCTTTGAGCTGGACTTTAAAATGCTTGTTTTTCCCTTGTGCTTTTAGTGATACTGAGAAATCATTTGGCTAAAAGAGAAAATTAAAAAAACAAGTAACAGTAAACATTTGGAAGCTTATATGGTTTTGTTGTTTGTTTAAAGCTGGCCCTGGCGCTTGATCTCAGGGCCTGGGCACTGTCCCTGAGCTTCTTTGGCTCAAGGATAGCCCTCTAGCCCTTGAGGCATAACTTCACTTCCAGCTTTTTTTTTTCAGTGGTTAACTGGAGACAAGAGTCTCACAGACTTTCCAGCCAAGGCTGGCTCTGAACTGTGATCCTCAGATCTCAGCCTCCTGATGCCCAGCTGTATCATCATTTTTATACTAAACCATTAATTGATAAAAGCTGAACACTTACCAAGTGCTAGGCACCACACTTGATATCACACACACACACACACACACACACACACACACACACACACACACAAGCTCCCTTACTCAAGACAAATACTTTTTACAAATGAGAACTCAGGCACAGAGAAGCTAGCTTACCCAAAGTCATTCATCTAGTCAGGGACAGGACTCAGTCAAGTTTCAGAACATTCATGGCCATAGCATGAAACCCACAGCAAATCCTTAAGTCCACTACCTTAGGTAAGAGAGCTTCAGCCTGACTACTGGAGAAATACACCTAAATTCTAGAAGCCACAAACTCATGAGCCCCTAAGAGTCCAAAGAGTAATGTTAACAGGTGTCAGGGTGATGGACAGACAGAATGACAGTGTTTGCCTAACCTAAAGACAGTGGATACTTCACCCAGGATTCCTGCCTTGAAGAATCTACAGACTAACTCAAGACTTGCCAATGATGGGCTTCCAAATTTAAGAGAAATCTGAAGTCTGTATTTGTATATACAATTCCCTAATACTTAAATACTAGCAATGAACTGAAATGTTTAAATAAAGTGTCATGCAGGCCAAATAAAATATGTCTATTCAAGACCATTAGCTTAAAAATTGTATTAAATATAACAGCATATTCCACCTAATATCTATACTCTGCTCCCAAGAAAATCTGTACATTCTATGTTAAAGCTATCTTCTTCCTCAACTGAATTTCAGTCTACATTAAAACCTCAGGTGCCTCTTTCTCTTTAGTTACTGCCAAAGGTTCAAACAGTGCTTCAGATCATGATTTAACAGAAAATGCAGCTCTCCAAATTGTTCATTAGGAAGTTCAATTAATCTCAATCTCTTTAAACATAAACATTTTCTTTCAATCTTTTGTATAAATATATGTACTTTTTTTTTTTTTTGGTCCAGTCGTGGGGCCTGAACTCTGGGCCTGGGCGCTGTCCCTCAGCTCTTCAGCTCAAGGCAAGTGCTCTACCACTTGAGCCACAGCGCCAGGCGAGCTTTGAACCTTAATCCTCAGATCTCAGCCTCCTGAGTAGCTAGAATGACAGGCATAAGCCACCAACGCCCGACTAGTACATTCATTTTTTGTATAGCTACATTCACACAAAACAATACTAATTGTGAACTGATAAGGAGAAAAGCAATGACATCATCTATCAAGAAATAAGGACAATATTAAGGAAAATAAATGTTATCAAATTTTAAGATCCACGCAAATGTGCACAAGAGTCCAAATAACTGACTCCATTTTTATGGACGTTTTTCTAGTACTTCAATATAACTTACCTTTTACTGAAAGTGCATTTCAAAGTGTTAAAATAGGTTTTTGAGGTATGTAAAAAAAAGTGTATTTTAACTTTTGAACAACGAATTTAAATGTCAACTTTTTACATTTAGAATTCCTACAGTGATATCTTCTTATATACTTCATCTAAGCGCAATATGAGAAACACTTTTCCAGTCTAATCTAGGGCATTATTCTACTCTCAGTTTTTTTCCACTTACTTATCAGTTTAATGCCTCAGAAAATATTCCAGGAATGCAAAACTAACATAACTGGTCAAGGCCAAATAATGCCAGACAGCATCAGGCTACAGCTCTTTTGTTCACAAGAGATGAAGTTCGTATGGAGGAAGCGGCAGAAGGAATCTCAGTGTAAGCTGTGGATCAATAGGGGGCTGGAGGTCGGGGAAAGAGAAAGCAGTAGGGTTATTCTGAACAAAATATATGCATGCCTAAAATACCATCATAATAAACACTAGAAGAAGGAAAAAACGACAGGGAAGTAAGATCGGCTCTATCTTGGGGAACAGGAGCACCAGCTGGAGAGGGGAGGGCTACGGAAGAGAGTGAATAAGGATGAAACCACTGAGCTAGTTTATCTCCACGTATAAACATGGACAAATGAAACTTGATGAAACTTTTAACTTTGTATAACTAAAGCTAATTTAAAAAAAAAACTAACAAAGCTGGGCACCGATGGCTCACGCCTGTCATCCTAGCTACTCAGGAGGCTGAGACCTGAGGATTGTGGTTCAAAGCCAGCCCGGGAAGGAAAGTCTCTGAGATTCTTATCTCCAACTAGTCACCAGAAAACTGGAAGTGGCGCTGTGGGTCAAGTGGTAGAGCGCTAGCCTTGAACTGAAGGTCAGGGACAGAACCAAGGCCCAGAGTTCAAGACCCACTACCCCCCAAAAAAACCAAAAAACAGAATTTTTAAAAAAACAAATGAGTTTAAAGAGTGTGACTAGGATGCATTGTACACATGTGGAAATGGTGGTGAAACCTCATTATATAACTAATGTATGTTAATAAAAACTAAATAACTACAGTTGGAAAGAATACTGACTTTACCTTCAGAAACATTTATGACTAGCCCTTGGCTTACAAACATTAAGAAAGCTACTTAAACTCTCCAATCCTTTTTTACTTTGTGCCAGTCCTAGGGCTTGAACTCAGGGCCCAGGCACTGTCCCTGAGGTTTACTGTTCAAGGCTAATGCTCTACCACTTGAGCCATGGCTGCTCCACTTCTAGCTTTTTTTGGTGGTCAACTGGAGACAAGAGTCTTACAGACTTTCCTGCTGAACTGGCTTTGAATGGGTGATCCACACATCTCAACAGGTGATCACACATCTCTTTTTTAAAAAAAAATACCCAAGCTCTATTTCTACTTACCTTTCTTTTCTTTTTCTTTTTTTGGTTGGTCATGGGGATTGAACTTAGGGCCTGGAGGCCATCCCTGAGCTCTTTTGCTCAAGGCTAGCACTCTACCACTTTGAGCCACAGCTCTATTTCTCTAGTTTTCTAGCCATTAAATGGAGATAAGTCTCACAATCTTTCATGCCCAGGCTGGCTTTGAACCACAACCCTTAAATCTCAGGCTCCTGAGTAAACCAGGATGACAGGCATGAGCCACCAGCGACCAGTTTTTTAAAAAAAAAAAAAAAAAAAAAAATTACCCAGAGCTCTATTTCCATTTACCTTTGCGAAATAACTTACCGAAGATTCACTATCGCGAATGAGGAAGTCTCCTTCGTGTCCTCTTTCATTTAATGCCATTTCTGCTTGGTGTCTGGTGACTTTGCCGTAATACCAAGGATTGCCAGCAAACTTCCCAGTGAGGGAAGGCCTAATGTAGTCACACTGTGGGGGTGATGGCTCTAGGCCTGAGGTTAATGGATTATTCTGCATGACAGTCACGTAGTTCTTTGGCACCAGACCAACGGTTCCGTTCATCTTCCTACATTTCCACCACTCAGGGTCGTTTTCCGGCTTTTCAATAACATCCATGACATCGCCTTTCTCAAAATTGAGTTCTTCATCGTTGGATGAGCTGAACGGGTAAAGCGCCTGTACCACGTGCAACACTTGCCCAGTGTTTAGGTTATTGACAACTGCCGCTAGTTTCTCGGACAGAGAACCCACGTGGTCGCCCAGAGGACTGTCCCCTTCTTCGGTCACGTAGTTGGATGGGAACCATCCAATCTGCCCATTGTGGCTCCCCCGCCACCAGCCATCACTGCACTTCTCCATGACGATCACCTTCGTCCCTTTGATCAGGGACAGCTCGTCCTCCCTCTCGGCCATGTAGTTGAATTTCACATAGGCGGGCATGTTGAGGTCATACAGACGCTCCCCTGGGTCCACGAAGCTATCATCGGCAGGAGATGCCGTGTCTGGAACACTGGGTTTTCGTTTCACTTTTCCAATGCCTGTTTGAGAAAGGAGGAGGCAACCAGAGTGTAAAAGGATCTTCCATTCTGCGCAGTGTTTTCAAGCCTCTATATGTACTCCTAATGCCAGAAGGAGCACTACAGATCTCGTTCTTAAAAGAGAATTGTGAGGGTAGGTTTCAGCTCGTCTGACAGTTCCCTGAAGCAGCAGCACGATGGCTTGCCTGAGGTTCACCTGGTTTGGCGATTCCCACCCAGTGCTTGGGTGTCTTCCGAGGTAGCTTTTACCAAAAGCCAACTATTTGTGTGGCAGCCTGGGGGGCAAAGAAAGACTGCGACAAGGAACGGGCAGCTCAAGACGCCTCAGAGAGAAGAGGATGGGGACGGCTATACACGGGGAGATGAGGAGTTGAGAAAGTTCCTGTGTACACTGGTGAACAAGAAGGCCTCGCCATGTGATCAGGGCTGGGCACAGGCTCAGGGAAGGCAAGAAAACACCCCAAGGAAGGCCCGGGAGACTCTGATCTCCAATCAACCACCAGGAAACTGGAAATGGCACCATGGCTCAAGTGGTAGAGCACTAGCCTTGAGCTGAAGAGCTGAGGGACAGCGCGCAGGCCCAGAGTTCAAGCCCCACAACCAACCAACCAATAAATAAATAAATAAATCGGGAGGGGTGGGTTCCCCTTACTTTTTCATTTGGCTTTAGGAGTTTAAGGAAGCAATGTGAAATACTAGGTGACTACTAAGCAAATGAAACAGACTCTAGTAACCATATATATGAGTGAAGAATATAGACTTAGCCAGTGGCTCACACGTGTCATCCTAGCTACTCAGGAGATGAAATCTGAGGATTGCCGTTCAAACCCAGTCCAGGCAGGAAAGGCTGTGAGACCGTTATCTTCAACTAAATACCAAAAAAAGGCCAGAAATGAAGATATGGCTCAAGTGATAGAGCAAAACAGCTCAGGGAAAGCACCCACGCCCGGTGTTCAAGGGCCCAGGATTAGCACATTAAAAAAAAGTTCAGAAAGTCAAATTATCTTCCAAATATGAAGAAAACATTCTTAGATAAACAAAAACTGAAGGAACTTATTACTAGAGTTGTTGTAAGAAATATGAAAGGAAGTCTTTCACACCGAAATGAGAAAGAAAAAAGACTAAAATGATACCAAACAGACATCTGAAGTCATCTGCAGACGTTAGGAACAACGGTAAATCAGGACACTACATGGGTAAACATAAAATCACTAGTATTCCGTTTGGGACTTGTAGGTTCTTTTGATTTCCCACATGATTTAAAATATAAACATATTTATATTTTAAAATATGTTAACTCTTACCCCAGGGTAACGTCTGGAGGAAAACTAAGAAATACAAGAAATATACAGAGAAATGAAAAGGGTAACAAAACAGTATACCATCAAAAACAAGAAGGCAGTAATAGAGAAATTGTAAGGAACAAGTATATTATAGGAACAAAAATTAAAGTCCCTATCAGTAATTACTCTAAACAGAAATGAATTAAACTCCCCAATTAAAAGACAGAAATCTGGGCACTGTCCCTCAGCAATTCAGCACAAGGCAAGTGCTCTACCACTTGAGCCACAGCACCACATCTGGATTTTTTGGTAGTTTACTGGAGGTAAGAGTCTCATGGACTTTCCTGCCCGGGCTGGCTTTGAACCGTGACCCTCAGATATCAGCCTCCTAAGTAGCTAGGATGACAGGTGTGAGAACCGGTGCCAGCCTGATTTGTTTTTTAATCCACTTCTAAGCTATATACAAGATACTCACTTTAGATCCAAGGAGAAAACAGATTGGCAGGAGAAATGGTGGAAAGCTGGCTTGGAGCTGTGGCTCAAGTGGTAAAGTCCAGCCTTGAGCAAAGGGACAATGCTCAGGCCCTGAGTTCAAGCTTCAGTACCCCGCAAAAATAACTAACTTTTTGAAAATTAGTAGTTTCCAGTCTTCCCTACACTATGATTATTAGTCATTTCCACTCCCACAGTAATGTTGGGTGCCTCTTAACCAGAACAATGTATACGCCCTTCAGTTCTTGGGTTTTGTTGTGCCCATCCGAGGACTTGAACTCAGGACATGGGCACTGTCTGAATTTTTTCCCTCAACTCGAGCCACAGCTCCATTTCCACAGGTTCATTTGGAGGTAAAGAGTCTCACAGACTTTCCTGCCCAGGCTGGCTTTGAACGATGTTCAGATCTTAACCTCCAAGTAGCTACGATTACAGACATAAGCTACCAGTGGCCAGCAAGATCAAGTTTTAAAGAACCTGGTGCTGGGAACCCTCCATTTCTGGGCTAACTCTCTCCTGAGACAGCCTCTACACTCGGAACCCTTCCAGTGTAACCTGCTTTCCAGATCCCTGCTGTGCCAGTACTGGGAAGCATCCACATTTCTCAATACTGTGGTTCAAGTAATCTAGCCCAAGCTGGGCAGGGCGACTGGGAGAGAAATCCTCACATTCAGGACGAAGAGGCGGGAGGAACTCAGTCACACGCCATCCTAAGCAACATAGTGAAACTGTGCATCCACAAACCCGGGGTGTCAGAGAACAGGAGGATGCTTGTCTAGTCCCTGCCAGGACCTGGGCTTACTTCTCAGCATTAGGGGGAAAATGTAGGCATCCCAAGTGAACAAACTACCTAGTACCAACAGATGCCCACTGTGTACCATAAGGAGAATTCTGCACCTACCAGGCTACATTTTTAATCAATTTTTTCAGTTTTTTTTTAATCAGCTATTACTTCCAATATCACTGTAAGAAATAATTATTGGTGGTCCACTTTCAAAGCTGGGTACCTGACCTGACACTGAGTTCTTAGTGACCATCATAAAGTTTCTATGCAAACAATGTCAGAAGGAGGCAGCCAGCAGGGAGATGGGTGGGTCATGGTGAAATGAGAAGTAAAAACTGTGTACATGCCAAAAAGGCACAGATCCAGAAAGGCCTTCCTGCCTGCTGCAGAGAACAAAGGGGTGGGGATGGAGATAACCAAGTCCTTCCACTGCCAAAGGTACAAATGTTAAAATTCCCAATAGAAAATAATTCAGCTCAGGGGATATCGGGGAAGACAGCACACCCCATAGTACTCAGCAATGAGGAATGGGGGCGGGGCCTGAGCAATGCTGGCTGGAACTGCTCTGAATGTCTCCGCCCAACAGACTGCATCTTCAAAGACCACCACTGACCACTGAAGTCTCCCTCACACCTGTCTCTGAGTATGCTTTTCTAATCACATCTTAAGCATGACATTTCCTTTCATCATTTATCACTGAGTAATTGTTTAATAAAACGGACCCAATGTAAGTATTTCTGCATCTAAGTATTTCTGCATCTTCTAATTCCCCTCAGAGAACTTTACCATGATTCTGTCTCGCCTTTTTTCACAGATATCCTGACTCCTGTGACCAGAACTACAGGACTTTTTAGAATCAGCATGTACTTTCCAGGATCATCTGGTCTTACTCAACTCTCTCCATAACAAAGAACAGGAAATCAGCAATGGTTTCGTTATATGCTCTAAGCCACAAGGCTAGTTCATGGTTTATTTGGGAGCAAAACTAGACACAAATATATAGTATTCTTCCCACTAAAATGATTTTAATTTTTTCTCATGTCTACACGAAATAATGTTCTGCTTATTTGTTGTTTTATTCAAAACCCTGTGCAATTTTTGTTTCCAAGAGCATTCTGGCTGCTATACAAGAGCATATATCCTGTTTCCTTTATTCTTTTTTTTTTTTTTGGCCATGGGCCTTGAACTCAAGGCCTGGCTCTGTCCCTGAGCTCTTTTTGCTCAAAATTTTCACTCTACCACTTTGAGCCACAGTGTCACTTCTGATTTCCTGGTGGTTCACTGGAGATAAGAGTCTCACAGGCACTTTTCTGCCCAGGCTGGCTTTGAACCATGATTCTCAGGTCAGCCTCCTTCCTGAGTAGTGAGGATAGGTGGGAGCCACTGGCACCCGGCTCCTTTATTCTTTAAGTCCATTTAAAGATTAGGTGAATGAACGAACAGTCTGACAAGCTGCCTGACAAAATTTAATTTGGGGGTGCTGCAGAGACTGAAGAAGGATTTTCATTACAATTCTCAAATAGTGGCAATTGGACCACAAATGCTTTTAAGAATAACCAGTAAGTTAGGCACCAGTGGCTCACATCTGTCTTCCTAGCAACTCAGGAGGCTGAGCTCTCAGGATCATGGTTCAAAGACAGCCTGGGCAGGAAAGTCCATGAGACTCTTATCTCCAATGAACCACCAGAAAACTGGAAGTGGCGCTGTGGCTCAAGGGTAGAGCACTCCAGTTGAGCTGAAGAGCTGAGGGACAGCGCCCACCCCCATAGTTCAAGGCCCATGACCGACCAAAAAAAAAAAGAGAGAGAGAGAGAGAGATAGAAGTTTATCTTTTTTTTTTTTTTTTTTGGTCAAAATGGGGCTTGAACTCGGCCTGGGCGCTGTCCCTCAGCTCTTTAGCTCAAAGCTGAGCACTCTACCACTTGAGCCACAACACCACTTCCAGCTTTATCTGTTTATATGGTGATAAGGAATCAAACTCAGGGCCTAAATGCATGCGAGGCAAGCACTCTAGCACTGAGCCACCATCCTAACGCAATCATTAATTTCTTTTTTTAATTTATTTTTTATTGTTAAAATACTGTACAGAGGGGCGCAACCATTAATTTCTTTTTTGGGTCCGGTCATGGGGCCTGAAGTCTGGGCCTGGGCACTGTCCCTCAGCTTTTCAGCTCAAGGCTAGCGCTCTACCACTTGAACCACAGCACCACTTCCGGCTTTTTTCTTTTTGCTTATGTGGTGCTGAGGAATCGAATCCAGGGCCTCTGGCATGCAAGGCATGCACTCTACCACTGAGCCACCTTCCCAGCCCCACCATTAATTTCTTAAGACACAGTAAATACTATTATCATTGCATTGGTAAATGATATATAGGAAATCACTATATTAATGGTATAATATAATCTTTTTATATTCCTTGATAGCATTTGTTTGACTTATGATCAATATTACCTATGACTACACCTAGATATGAAATTCACTGCACTGTTAATAAAAAGCGTAACAATAGTAGTCATCTAACTCCTGATAAGGACCTAAGTTCTGTGAGAATTAGTACAAGTTTTTTGCTTTATGATTCATCTGGCTTGAAGTACTCTCAATAAAAATCTGTCAGTGAACAAATTAATAAGTTCTTTAAAGAGCAAAGTAATTCAAGAGCTGGAAATGGAAAGGTCCAGAATCTTATTATGTCTTCAATAAGTGAACACAAGTTAAGCAGCAGTATTCACGCAGCGATCAAAGCTCCTCACGCTACCATTACAGTTCCTCAATAAAACCAATCCTCCTTTCCGTCCCATCTCTCATCAGTTACTCTTGTTTTCATAAGCCCCTCATACATAAGGGACTGCTATAATAATTTCTCCGTTCATTTTTGTAGACATAACAAGCAAATGTTCAAAGAGATTAGAATATAATAAAAAAAAAAAAGAAGGCCACCAGACATGCATGGCTTAGGCTTGTGCAAACCGGTATTAGCAGTTTACCAGTGGATTTTATTATGTTATTTTTACATCATGGCTACAAAGTCTGAATAAAAAAGTTGTAAATGTTGTTAAGTTAACTCAAAGGTCAAGAATAAAGAAAACTGTTCTCTAATTTTGTTACTGAAAAAAGGTTTTTTTTAATATACTTTAAATGGACTTAATTCACTTCAGATGTCTGTACTAGGTTGAAAGTTACTGAATTAAAACTACAACAAATCCAAATCATCCACATCTACTCCCAACTTCCTAAACATTCATACTAAACCATTTTTAAATGATTGCATTTACAAATGAAAGCTAAAAACATGTATCACCCATCATTTTGCTTCTATTACATAAACACAAAGCACCAGCTTATATAAACCCACCAGTTTTCTTCACAGAATTTCTCTTGAAATTAACAATAACAAAAGAAACTAATTCAAAAGCTGGAACAAGTATGGATTTATCAAACAGCATAACTTACTGAAAAAGTCTTTAAAGACGCTTAACCAATCCATTTTGAATAAAATTCCGCGTTGTCCTTGGTCAACTAGTTAAACGCAGCCCAGGATAATTCTTCAAGGCTTCCTGGTCGGTTCAGCAACACTGAAACTTCCCACACCCACCCCACGTGACCTGGCCCAAGCCCAAGCCAGCGCAGTTCCTCTTTCCAAAAACTTTTCCCTCTAAACTATAAAAGAACTTGTAAAACAAGTCAATCATGATGGCTTTATAGTTAAGACTTATTTCAGACGAAATATTAAGGCAACTATAATTTTAAATCATTAAAAGAAAACCAACATTTCCAACATCATAGAATATAGGCAGCTGTAGCAGTAATAACTGTCTGAAATAAAAGCTAGCAGAGGTTTCCCAGTTTTATAAAGTTTAATGTCTGACAATTTAGTTACTACTCTGGGTAGTTAAATGGCATGGTGGTCACCTTCAGCACACTGAAAATGTCTAGCTCAAGAAGTTCATATTCCAAAATTTTATGGAGGACTTGTTTTGAATTTGCATTATAGTTCCTGCTATCTTAAACATTTGATTCTATTGCTGGCAAAGTAGAATAACTGCAATACCAACAACCTTGAATACAAAATAACAAATATAAAGCGCAAAGTAATATAAAGTACTAAATATTTCGCATTTGTTAATTATGCTACCGTGGTCCTACGAGGGGAAATTCTACACATAGAAGAAGAACCCTAAAGTAGCAGCATGCCTGCCTGATACCAAAATGAATTCCTGTCTCTCCCAGTTCCTTCCTGTTAGCTAAGAAGAGTTTCAGAAGAAAAAGGCAGTATTCGCCCATACCTACTTCCTTCCTATCTACCTTGCCAAGCCAGGGTAAAGTAGACTCGACCGAATCCGGCCCCAAAAAAAGGCCAGCAAAAACTTACAAACAAAAATGTTAAGAGGAATCAGGAAGGTGAAATTAAAACAAAACAAAAAATAGCAAAGACATCAGTCCCGTGGGTGTTAACAATGACCCACGTTTAAAATTCACATCAAATAGAAGAAAATTGCTTTAAAAAATGTTAAGCCATTACATGCCAAAATAAATTGCTTGAAGTCCATGTCCAGGGAGGTAATTCTACATCTTACTCACTTTACTCACTTTTTTGACTTTAGCTAGAGCCAGTATTTTCCTCTAAGTTTCCAATGGGCATCATGACTCAAGGAGCTCATTGCCAAGATGGTACGGTGAGTCCGTGAGCTCTGCTCATTATCACTTGACCTTTGAACTTGGGCCTAGAGTGACAGAAACTGCTAATATGGAAGACCTTTACCGGTCTCCTGGCTTGAACAACTGCTGTGAGCCAAACCCAGACTACTGAAATGCCACGCCTGACTTTTCCAAATCAACTCTCAGAATTGTGTACAAAGACTTAGAATCCAGAATCCAGTTAATAGAAAGGTATTCTTCTCTCTTTTCATACAAAACAACTTACCTAAGGTATCCTTCAAGTTTTTCACAATAGATGCTTTTCGAGCACTGTTCTTCCTTTCCACGTAGTTAGAAGGGACAAAACCAGTTTTATTCATTGAATTTCGAACTCTCCACCAGGACTTAGAATCATCCAGAAGCCATAATCTCTCATTCTTCTTGATATCCAGCTCTTGTTCTTGTTGAGCCACATAATCAAATTTGGCTACCACCACTACTTCCTCCGCCATCTTTCCAGCCCTGTAACACACAGAAAATACTTTGATAGAAAGTTGGTGTAGTCAGAACCTACTATATCACCACAAGTTCAGAGTAAAAATATAGGAAAAACTATACGAAGCAAAAACTAAACGAAATAAAACTTAGCCAGTAGGTCCCCCCTGTAATCCTATCTATTGAGGAGGCTGGATCTGAGAACCAAAGTTCTAAGCCAGACAGGCAGACAAATCCAAGACACTTATCTCCAATGAACTAGCCAGAAATGGAAGTGTGGCTCAAATGGTAGTGCCAGTAACGAACAGAAAAGCCAAGAACATGAAGCACTGAGTTCAGGCCCCAGTTCCACGCACGCGTGCACACACAAACACAACTAAACTTGCACTGCCACATTAATATCACATATAAAGTAAGGCAAAAGCTATTGCTAGCAATAAAGTTCACTATACAAACATTACTGTTCTATACTCAATACACAGATAAGATTGAAACTTAAGTTCCAGACCAAACAGAAGCTTTTTGAGCAGTACTTTATTATAAATAGCTACAAGGAACAAAACTAACTGTAGAACACCATAAGGAGCAAGCAACAAATCTATTATCACACAGGACAATTTTTAACATAGTTATCTCAGGAATAAAACAATCAGAGACACTGTGGATGTAGCAAAAGGACTGTGAAGCAGGAGACGCTTAGTTTCAGATGAATCACATTATCAAAACCCCAAGCTATCCGTGTAGCTCGGTGGTAGACTGAGTGGTTAGCCCTCAAGAATTCAGCTCTATTCCCCCTGGTCCTCCCCTCAAAACAAGAAGAGCTAAAAGTAAATTACTAGACTGAGTATATATCCTAAGCAGTTTGGAACGTAGAATAAGGCACTGGCCTAGCATCTATAAGGTCCCGGGTTCAATCTCTAGCACAAAAAAAAAAAAAAAAAGGGAAAGCCCAATGCTGGTAGCTCACATGTACTCCTAGCTGTTCAACAGGCTGAGAGAGAATGTTTGTGGTTCCAAGCCAGCACTGGGACAGGAACGTCCATGAGACTCTTATCTCCAATCACGAAAAAAAGCTGGAAGTGGAGTTGTGGCTCAAGTGGGAATGCTAGACTTTAGCACAAAAGCTCAGGGACAGCTGCTAGGCCCTTAGTTCAAGTCCCAGGACTGGCGCGCACACACCTTCTCTCTCTCTCTCTCTCTACCTCCCTCTCTCTCTCTACCTCCCTCTCTCCCTCCCCCTCTCTTTCTCATACACACATACTAATAGGAGAGACACAAAAAGGAAAAAGTAGAAGCTTCTAAAACAAACAAGAAAGGAATAGGACAGAAATAAGAAATAAAAGCAGAATGTAATGCAACAAAATACAGACAGACCTGAAAGGCTCAGTATAAGGAAAGGTAGTTCTTGTCAAGGTAATGAAATTGACAGTTCTCTCATGGCCAGCCAAAGCAAAACAATTCAAAACTCCATCGCAACAAACCAGGCATGGTGGTACACACCTGCAATCCCAGCTATTCAGAGGCAAAAGTATATGAACTCCATCTGGAAAACAACCTAAAGCAAAAAATGGCTACAGATGTGGCTCAAGTGGTAGAGCACTTGCCTAATAAGACAAAGCCCTGAGTTCAATCCTCAGTAGCACCAAAAGAGGGGATGGGCATTCAAAAGGAATGCCTAAATACCAGGAATGAAATGAAATGACAAGTATAGACACTGCCAGCATTAAGAAGGCTTGGTACTATTACAAACAATTTCACCTATACATCTGAAGACAATGAAACAAATTTATAGACAAATAACGAAAGTAATAAAATTGAATTTGTAATGAAAATATCAGGACCGGGTTGGGAAGGTGGCTCAGTGGTAGAGCGCTTGCCTTGCATGCCTGAGGCCCTGGGTTTGATTCCTCAGTACCACATAAGCAAAAAAAAAGAGAAAAAAGCCGGAAGTGGCACTGTGGCTCAAGTGGTAGAGCGCTAGCCTTGAGCTGAAGAGCTGAGGGACAGCGCCCAGGCCCAGAGTTCAGGCCCCACTACTGGACCAAAAAGAAAAAAGAAAAAAAAGAAAATATCAGGACCACAAGAGTTTACAGACAAGGTCTATTAAAAGTTATGGAGAAAATCTATATAATAATTTATAGGAGTATTTTAGAACAAAGAAAAAAAACGATAAGCCAATCTCATTAGGTGAGAATTCTGTTTTCTTCAGAGAGATTATTTTGCATATGCCTTGCTGAGCAAGCAAAAAATTTAACTTTTTGTTTTGGTCATTGACTAGCGATCTCTTTTCTCAACAACAAAGCCAGTATTTTAATGTCATGCAAGAGGTTCAATTTAATTGAGAATTCATCTTGCGCAGACAAAAAAAAGAAAAAAGAAAAGAAAAAAAATCAAGTATACTGTATACATTTTGAAGTACGCAAAGCCTCAAAGTCAAAGAAAGGGGGGAGGATGGTGGGGTGCTCAAAAACACTGATAAGTAAAGTACAAAAAATAATAATTATTAATATTTGAGCCAAAGGGAGGGGAAGGGGAAACAAAGGAGGAGGCTACAATGCTTGATAAGAAATGTACTCATTATCTTGCCCATGTAATTGTAACCCCTCTGTACAGTATTTTTCAATAATAAATAAATAAATAAATAAAAATAAAAAAGAGTTCAAGGACAGCACCCAGGCCTCGAGTTCAAGTCCCATGCCCAACAACAATAACAAAACAGAAA